TTTACAGCGAAATGACTTTATGCTCACCGCTCAGTCAGCCCTGTTTCTTATCTACACGATGTGAAGGCAAGGACTCAAGAAATGTTGGCTAACACCATTGTTACTCCGAAGAAAATTCTCATGCAACTGGACAAAGATATGTGGAGAAGCTATTTTGGTTGTAGGAAAAATTGAAGGCCATCGAATTGTCCATTGACAGGGGAACACCAGGGTATGGCTCATTGCACGATACTCTGCAACCATTTCAAAGAACAAAGATGATCTCTTTAAGGGGCCGGCCCGGTGGCGCAGTGGTTAAGTGTGCACATTCTGCTTTGGCGGCCCGGGGTTCGCTGGTTCAGATCCCAGGTGTGGATATGGCACTGCTTGGAAAGCCATGCGGTGGTAGGCGTCCCACATATAAAGTAGAGGAAGATGGTCACGGATGTTAGCTCAGGGCCAGTCTTCCTCAGCAAAAAGAGGAGGATTGGCAGTAGTTAGCTCAGGGCTAATCTTCCTCAAAAAAAAAAAAAAAAAAAAAGATGACCTCTTTGCTGTCCATGATTACTGTGGATTTGTAGACAGCAAGTTGAAGAATATGCTTAGCCATTACATTAACCCCACCCCCCCACCCCACAACGTGTATGTATCGCAATTATATGCAAGAAAACTATCTGTTAGCAGAGATGAACCCTGCAGAGTGGGGCTAAGGAGGAGTAAGGAGGGGAGGTTTTGGCGTTTTTAAGAAAAACAAACTTCTTCACTGGAACTTTTCAATGAGCATGTGCTTAAGAAAATACACATTTCAAGCAAGTAAACAGTCAGCACCCCTCCCCTGCACTCAGGCTGCAGAAATCAGAGGTCTCAGTGAGCTGACTGTAGTCTGGTTGGTCTTCTGTGGCTGGAGACTTACCTTTTTTCATTCCAAGGAGGATTTATTGTCATATGTTGTTCTCATGTTGCCCATCCCATGCGGCCATCTTTTGAGTCACAGAGCTGCCTCAATGAAATCAAATAGATGAATAATGAATATGAATAATTTGTGTTTGGCTTCAAGGTAATTTGTTCCAAAAAAGGAGTTCTTTCTTCCTGTGACCTCTACCCCATCTGAGTACGATGGGGAGAAAGTCACGGGCTCCCGTATCCCCTGGCCTGGAATCCCGTTCCACGGCTAACCCGGACTGAGGGCTGGGGCCGGGCACACGTGCTCTGGGCTCTCTGAACCTGCTTCCCCATCCGTCAAATGAACAAACTACTTGCTTCCCAAGGCTCCCAGGATCGTGGTGAGGATCTAAGGAGATGAAGGGAGAGGAAAAGATTTTGGAGAAGGTGGTTTAACTTATCTAGGTGCCAGTCCCAGGGCCTAAAATCACCCAGTCTGTCCCTAGAGCTTTTGGTCAAAAAGTCACAAGAAAAGAGAGCATGGACTCCAGCAGATGCCTAGAAAGAGGTAAAAGGAGAGCGAGAGCCAGCATTTATTGCAGGCTTACCATGGGCCAGGTCCCATTTAGGGGACGGACATATTTTACCTTGTTAATCCCCACAACAAGCTTATGACTTAGTTATCTCAGGCTACATTTAAAGATCAGAAAACTCAGGAATGAAGAATGCGTAACATAAGTGTGAACTCTCATTCATTCATTTATCCATTTAATAATAGCACTAGGTACCAGGAATACAACGGTGAATAAAAAAGCACAAGCCCCTGCTCTCACAGAACGTACCTGGGAAGGTGACCTGGTTTGAAGTTTCCTGGCTATCAAAGGGGAAAGGGGGTTCTCATTCAGTTTTACACCCTCAGCCTCTGGCTCTAAGCACAGGCACCTCCTGCCCCGTGTTTTCTGGACTGTTCACTTTAAGCCTCATGTGTTGGTCCCGCACCCTGGTGCCCTTTCTCCTTCTCCCGTTGAACTCCCCACCCTGTGCCAACATTCTTGAATATCCAGGAGTAGAAGCTTGTTTTAACCAGTTTTTCCTCCCAGGGTGTGATTATCCGAGCAGAGGAGACCTCTAGGAGAGCTGTGTTCCCAGATGAGTCAGCTGTCGTCTCAGCCATTACCTAATGCTGAACTGGGACAGGTTTGGGAAGCTGAAGTCAGTGAAAAAGCCGAGACTCACAGGTTTGGAATTCGAGGTTGCTGGGAGCGAGGGGCTGGCCGAGTTTCTGCAGCCAGTGCAAAGTCTTCACTTGCTCATTCTCTCTAGAGTGCAGGACAGGGTAGCCTTCAAGAATCCCATTTAAAAAAAGCACAATATTCTTGGGAGGGGGCTCCTTTTCAATCTTTGTCAATGATTGTTTAACAAGGACAGTCAACTGGAGGAAGGATGGGTTGGGGAAAGGGGAGAAGAAAGGAGAGAATGCTGGCTGGAGAAAGAAGGATAGCAAGAGTGGTTTCTAACAGGGCCACACAGAACTAGGTTCTTGTGCCAACCACCTGGGTTCTTAAGTGATGTCCCAACACTGAAATATCTTCTTGTGTCCAGGACAAGACCATAAGAATGATAAAGAAATTGATCCTCATGGAGAGTCAAGACATGGTTAACAAAGGCAATAAAATGCATGGGTACCAGTGTTGTTGATCTTTATTGCCTTGCTTAGAAGTAATGCTGCATAAGCTAAATGCTACCCATCCCATGCTGTGTTTCTTAGGAAACTTCCTGGCTTGTTGTCAGCTTTCGAGGAGAGTGTCTTCAGTCTCTATCTGGCAGAAAGTAAGCACACAAAAGTCCACTGCTCATTTGTGTGACTCTTCACTCCCCGGATCCTCAGGGCAACCTGACCTGCTTTTTCTGGCTGTTGATGCTGCTTCTGAACCAGTCCCTACTCTGCCCAGATATGGGCTTCGCACCCGCATTCCCTCAAGGTACTCTTGACTCAGAAGTTACTCCCAGACTCAGCAGAAAACAGACGAGTCTTCATGTTGCCATTTCCTGTCATCAACTTTTTTGGGGTTATTTCCTGGCTTCTCCCTACCAACACCTGAAATACAGTATCTTAAATCAACCCATTTCATTCTCCCTTCTTCTCAGAATAAAATATCAGAGTACGTCTTCCTTAATCACTATTTATTTTTATTGCTTTCTAGCTTCTCAATGCATTATTTTGAAAACTGAGAAATAAAAGGAAAGAAGACAGTCCCTGCCTTCCTGATATGAACTATATCTCAAAGTGACTGAACAGTTGATGGGGGCAAGTTTCTCTTTAGAGAAGCATTTCACTAACAAGTGAGAAGGAATGATAGAATTAACAGGCCGATGGGTCTACACAATGATTATCAGTGCTGCCAAGATCACGAAATAGGAGCCGTCAGCATTGTGTGATGGAAGTATACCCTACCACTTACGACTTAATCTTGACAAAATATGAACCCCAATCTGATTAAGCTTCTAAATCTAACTAATTTTTGGACAGGTAACTCCACAAGAATGCAATAAGGAAAACTCAGACTTGGGAAAAGCTACAGGACAAACAATCCAATTTTTAAAGAATTTCAAGGGAAGAAGAGAGAGGGGAATGGGGAGCCTATAGATTAAAAGAGACTTAGCCGCCAGCCAATTGCTATACATGTAACTTATTTTCAGGCAAATTCAAAGAAATGCAATGTAAAAGAATTTAAGACAAGCAGGGAAATGTAGACATTGAATGGCTTTTTAATGATATTAAGGAATTATTGTTAATTTGAAGTGGGATAATGGTATTACGTTTTTTTTTTAAAAAAAGAATCTTTATCTTTTAGAGATAGGTGCTTAAATAAAACATATATGGATGAAGTGTTATGATATCTTGAATTTATTTCAAAATAAGTCAGAGGATCGTGGTGGGAATGGGTGCGAGTGTAAATAATACAAGATTGGCTATGTTTAAGCCGGGTGACAGGTACACAGGGGTTCATTATGCTGTTTACTTTTGTATGTGATTGAAAATTTCCACAACAAAATGGTAAAAAAAATTGTAAGATGAACCACTGGAAGAATGGACATGGAAGGTAGAACTTCCCAACCCCTAGAGGGGTACAAAAATGAGTAAGGAAACAATTAATTGAATAAAAGCCAGGTAAAGGGATAAAAGGGGGAAAATATAGAAAGCATTTTAAGGAGAAAACACAAAATAAGATGGCAAAAATACATCCAAATATGCCAGTAATGATAATAAATGGGAACAGATTAACTTAATCTAATTAAAACACAGAATAGGTTAAAAATTCAGCTATATATATATATATTTGTGTATATATATATATTTGTGCATATGTATATATATATATATATATATATATATTTTTTTGGTGAGGAAGATTGGCCCTGAGCTAACATCTGTTGCCAATCTTCCTCTTTTTGCTTGAGGAAGATTGGCCCTGAGCTAACATCCAGGCCAATCTTCCTCTTGTATGTGAGGCACTGCCAAAGCATGGCCTGATGAGTGGTGTGTAGGTCCACACTGGGATCGGAAACTGCGAACCCCAGGCCGCCAAAGTGGAGTGTGCAAAATTAACCACTCGGCCACTGGGCTGGCCCTAAATATATATTTTCTTTTTTTGTTTTTTACAAGCAAAACCCCTACAAAAATGAAAAGGAGAAAAATGAAGAGTTAAAGGACTATCTACTAGACTAAACAATGATAAACAGAAATTAGGTAAAACAGTTCAATGAGACAATAACTGAAATGCATCAGATGGAATTAGCACCAACGTGATCATTGGTGCCCGTGATAAGAATGGTTTGGGGCACAGTGGGGACTCCAGCCACAGCGCGTGTGAGCAGCAGTGATCGGAAGCGGAAGTGGGAAGGAAGGAGAGGGAGCAGAAAAGCCAGGGGAGGGAGCACATTCCCAGTTAGGGGAGGAGGGTTACTTATTTATCATTTATTTACTCACTGAACCTGTACAGATACTGAGAGGCCAGAGAAGAGGGTGAAGTAGAAGAAACGGGACAGAGAGGGCAAAACAATCATGGGGAGGGGAGAAAGCTGGAAGAGATGAGACCCAAGAACACCAGGGGAGACATTAGCAGCAGACAAGAAAACACCTTCTATTTTATTTTATTTCTGATTTATTAATTTGTCATTACACAAACAATACATGAATGCATACTCAAAAACATCAAACATTACAGTTAAAGCTGATGCACTCCACCAAACTACTGTTAACAGTTTGGTTAATATCCTTTCAGACCGTCCCTCTACATCCGTGTAATACACAAGCAGGTGCGTAAGCGGTACACTATACAGTGTGTGTGAATGTGTGTGGCATGTGCTTCCACATCAATGCTATCATATGTATGACATGTACTGTCCTTCAATTTTTCCCCAAACTTTAAAAAAACTGAACATTGTATTTTAGAGATCTTTCCATGTCAGCACATGTAGGACTCATTCTTTTTCACTGATGGCTAGTATTTTATAATGTATACCATGCTCCATCTTCTTGGTATTTTGGTTTTTCCAATTTTATACTATTATAAACAAAGATGCAATTGATATCATTGTACAAGCCACCTTGTGAACACAGGTATATAGAGTGTGTTTTATTAAAAACTGGAATTGTTGGGTCACAGGGCATGTGAATTTTAAATTTTAATGGATACCACTCAATTGCCTTCAAAAGTGGCTGTGCCAATTTATACACTCACCAACAACGTAGGATTTTCCCTCATCCTTGCCAGCTCTTGATTTACATATACTTCAAATATTTGCCAACTGGATCTGAGCTAGTTTCTTGTGTTTTAATGTGCATTTCCCTTATTTTGCTGAGGTTGGGCAGCCCTTCGTAACCTATTTGTAAACCTTTTTGCTCATGTGCATTTTCACAGGGGAATTTCTAAAAGGAATATGTGACCAGAACTCCTAAGACTCACTGCTAGTCTAGCTGGAATTAACTTTGCTGAGTTAGAGATCTAAATTTATTTTTTTCCCAAGTGGTTACATTGTCTCAATACTATTTGTTGAATAATCCATTCTTCCCCTACTGATTTGAAATGTCACATTTATCATTTATTCAATATATACTTGTGTTTGTTTCTGGATTCTCAGTTTTATCAGAATTTATTTTTGGCACCAGGCACCTGAGTTATTCTTAACTTGGGTCACTGAATGGTAGCTGATTTTTGTCAGCCAAGGAAGTGAGTGTGTTGCTTACGAGACACTAGGTGATCTAATTCATGATGCACAAATCCTATTCTAGCCGTTTGATTTAACTCAGTTTCTTTACCTACAATGTGTACTAGGAAAATGTGTCCATTCTCTCTGAGATCAGCCCCTCCTTTTTAGGGGACACCTCAATAGGCTCAATGTAGAGACAGGCGGCTTCTCACCAGGTCCCCTCTTTCTAAAAAAGAATTATTTGATGTTAAAGCTTTTTGGTGATTTAAATTTGTTTCCTGGCAATGTCAAAGGGTTTTGCGTGGCATGGCAACATGACTGTTGGTTTACATGAACCTTTCATTCAACAACTGACATGAGGCCCCCAAATGATGACATTCATTTTAAATAAACAATGTGGCACATTAGCTTTGACTTTTACGTCGACTATGAGCTCTCGGAGTGCACAAATCATGTCCCATTTATTTCTCTATCCCCAAACATGTAGGACAGGGAGCAGCACCTGAATCGAAATAGAACTGAATTGCATTTCAACAGTGTTTCTATAAAATAACAAGATAAAACCCGAACTTCTCAAAAACAAAACCTTCACTTTAGGGGCTTTACAAAGTTATACATATTTATCTTTTTCTGTCACTCGGCCATCTGATTAAATTATATATTTTTTAGTAGGATGATTAGAATTAGACACTGACCTGGTATTATTTCATGCCCAAGTGTGGGGAAATATTCCCTTGCCGGCCATGGGCTTCCTCAGGTACAATCTACTTACAGATATGTTGCTTGCCTGTGAAATGACAGCAAGAACTGTGATCGGCAAAACATTTTGGATTGCAGTGGGCAAGAATACTTTACAGTTCTTATCTAGAAATATCTCAGGCATGCAAAAGAATGAAATGAAAAGGTAAGCTCAACTTTTTTTTAATGGGAAAGAAGTGTGGCGTTTGCCTTGTTTTACAATTCAGTGATTCTTATGCTCTAAGTTCGTACACCTTTCCTTTGCCTCTTTCAAAGGGCTAATTTTGGCTTCTGTGGCTAATGTCTTAGTCCAGAAACTCAGATGCTCTGCTTTCTAGCTCCGCTCATGACATCAGACCATGGGAAAATTCCCCAAACTGCCTGATCTACCTGTTTCCCTGGTGAGAAGAAGGAAAAATAAAGCTAACTCACTATCCACGTCTGTTGAACAAATTCTGTGACCAAGTGGACTGTGCCAGTGCAAAATACCAGCTTCTGACTTTACCATTATCAATCCTAAAAGGCTGCCATTTTTATTTACGATGACTCTGTTAAAAAAAGAGAAAGGATGGCTACGACCTTTACCTAGCTTTGTATAGTGCTTCAGTTAGCGTTTTTCATCTGTGAACACAGCATGTCATACCAGTTGCAGCCCACTAAGGACATCATTATAAAGCACTTGTACAGTAATCCCTCCCCTGACGAAGGGAATACATGCATTCAAAGAACAGATCTTGCTATAGAAATTCTGTGACTTGCTACAGAAATATATGAAACAGGGATGCATTCTGGAATGTTGAAAAGGGTCAATAGGCTGCAAATATACATGACGAAATAATAAGCTTTTATCAATGCTAGAAAATAGAAACATGGGTTACTAGGCTTGGGCAGGAGGAGGTGAGAGAAAAGATCCAGATTTGCTTAGACCGGGGACTTCGAGGGAAGAAAGAAGACTTCTGAGTTGAAGTGTGTCGCAGAACAAAGGGTTGAAGCCTAGCAAAACGTATTCTGACTGGGGCTGTGGGTGTCTGCAGTGGGGCCAGAGCCCCTGTTATCCTTTCTGTGGAGGAAGGGATAGCTCTGAGGGACAGGCTTTGGACTCTGCTTCTGATCCCAGTCACCATAAAAGGACGAAATTTAGTTTACCTTTAGGGCTGAATTTACACAAGGCATGAAGTGACAACCAAGGCTCTTCCATCCTTTCCCCGCCACCTTTTTGCTAAATTCTAAAATTTTTAAAAAAGGAAACAGACTTTCATTTCATAGAGATATACAGCTGTTGGGAGGAAAAGTCTGACTCAAACTTTCTAAGAGTGGGGCTCTCTGATCTCTCCTTGGAGCAAGAAAGAAGAGGCACCTGGTGTTGGGAATGGAGTGCTCATCTTGGAGGGGAACACGGCATACAAAGACCCAAGACAGACTCCCTTCACGAGCGACACAAGAATGCCTGTGTAATTCTGCCTAGTCAGCATTTCTTTTCTGGATTCTTTTTGTCCCTCCTAAATTATTTCTCAGCTTCCAGTTTCAGCCCCTCAATCTACCTCCTATCTGCCACTGGAATGATGAATTTTTCTAAAATGCAAATCTGATCACAAACCCACTGCTTAAAATCATTCAATAAATCATTCTTGCTTTCTGAATAGAAGCCAAACCCCTAAGGTGGCCGAGGCCCTGCCTGCCTGCCTCCTTTGAGGCCAATCTGTAGCTATAGCTGTACATGCCCTCCCTTCAGCCTTTGAGCAGTTTTCTTACTCTTGTGACCTTCGAGACTCAGGTGTCACCTCCTAGAGGAAACCTTCCCTGACAAAGCCATCCTTGACTCTCTACAATGACAAGTCTTTATTGTTGCATTCTATCTGTCTGTTGATTTGTCTATATCCTCAATGAGACTGTCAGTCATGAGGGCTGGGCTTTGTCCTTTTAAGATTATTGAAGAGAAGAGAGTCATGTCACAAAGTACCTGCTACTGAGCTCTGAAGCTTCCTATTAAAAAACATATGACTTCAGATTATCTTAAAAATTGTTTCCAGAAAATTAACTATTTTATTTCTGGTTCTACAAAGCTAAGTTTCCATGAAGAACAAGTATTTTGGCTTAATCTTAAGCACTCTCCCACCATCCCTCTTTTTTAAAGGCCCAGGAGTGACCAGAATTCTGAACTTGGCAGATATACCATCATCTCTGACCTGCGACAATTCTTTGTGATTAGTGGCAGTTCTGATTATCCATCACTGGGGGCTTGATGATACAGCATTCTTACCTCAGCACTTGTATTTAGCTCAGAGAACAGGAAATGAAATAGGATATATCTAGCTATTTTGGACATACAATTATGAGTTAAAGTAACTGCATACTTAATATCTCACAGCCTTTTCTTGGGGCTGGGGGAGCAGTGTAGCAAGCTGTAAAATCTCACTGTAACTACCTAAAATGAACTTTCTTTGGGGAAAGCTACGTTTGTATTGCAGACACATTGCCATTATCACAAACAAATTTTTCTACCTATGATTTTCTGGTTGGCTAAAGTAAACCAACAGAAAACTTACGTGGCATCTTGGTCTACGGAGGTTGCAGTGAGACAATTAGAGATGGCATTCGTTTAAGACTGTGTCCAAAAATTAGCATCTCAATAAACTAACATTCCAGCTATGTGGAGCAGGAGACCCTAAATCTCTGAGGTAAAGCTGAAACTTACTTAAGATCCTAAACAAACCAATCAAATGGGGAAACGCTTCATGTTGTTTCCAAATACAGTAATATCTGATGCTAAAAATTTAGCACAACAGCTTTCTTACCCTTAAATTTGCTCCTGACTTTAGAGATGGGGTGTGCCCCACAGGAGTAGGTTTGGATGTAGAGGTTTCCTTTCACAGCTATTTTGGGGGTGTCTCTGGGTAGAGGTTGGGTGCCATGGGAAGGAAGGGCGATGGGAGAGCAGAGGACAGGCACTATTGTAATTTTGCATTTTTTGACGCTGCACCATGAGTTGAGCATCTTATGTCATTAAACTGAAAAGTTATTAATATTTAAGGCTCTTGATACATATTGCCAAATTACTTTCTAAAAGTACACAGGAAAGCTTGCCTTTCTATATTAGGTCCTGCTATTTAAAAGACACAACATTTTGCTACAAATATTAACTTCCAATTCTTACGTTACTAGAGGTTGGACCTTTAGAAACTGCCATTTATTTCTTCTGTGAATTCTCTATTTCTTCTGTTTTTCCTTTTTTAAAAATGTAATAATTGTTTTTAACTGCCATTTTTAACTAACATTAGTCATTTCTTTTGTGACTATTACTTTTATGTTTATAAAGTGTTTTTCTATCCCCAGAACCAAAATTTATATTTTACAAAAATCCCAACCTTTTCTAACAGTTTTTCGCCACCTGTGTTAAATATCATACTGTTTGCACTTGAGGGAGACACTGGTGAGCCTTGTGGTTGACATTCCAACACGGAAGGTTCACTTTCTATCTCAGCTGTGGTGGTTCTACTTAAAATCTTACTCTATATCTTAGGGTTGCTTCTTCAAGCCTATGGACTCAGTTCCTTTAGTTATTTCTAATGTTGTTCACTAACATTAAAATTTTGTTTATATTGAACAATATATCCTGCAGCACAACTAGAATATAACATATTTGGTAATCCCACATCCACCCCAATTTTATGCATTTAGTTTGTGGCTAATCCGATTAAGTTTTTATTTTAAATAGATACAGAACACTTCTTTATCCTCTTTTAACACAGAGAACTACTGGTTCTCATTAAAACTCCTGATTAGTTAGCTGGCTATAGATACAGTGCATGTTAATTTCTACAGGCACCTTTCTGAATTCAAGTAAAAGTTTTGGTAGACAAGGATTTCCTACTTAAATGTCATTGACATAACACGAATATTGAGTACAAATATTGCTTTCCATTCTTGCATTCTTTAAATTATTTTACTTTGAAAATTTAAGCACTATCATTAAGTCATTAATAACACAGGTTTTCTTTAAGGAATATTTTGAACTGTGAAAATACAAATCTAATCAAATTAAATTTTGAACACATATAGAGCCAAATATTTCAACAAAACTGCAGTTTAATTTCAGAAAATGTGTTAAAATATATATTTATACATCAATTTCTGACATACACTTAATGTGTTAGTATACACAAAATGATGCTCTCTCCTGAAACTGTATTTATGAAATGTACATTTTAATTTAAATACTCAGTATACACTGCACTTAATCTGCATGTTGCATTTATTAAATACATTAAAATCTGCAATGTAACAAAACGTTTTCTGCATACGAAATTCAAAACACCATTTTAAATGAACAAAAGATGGCTCACTTCATTTTTTTTTTTTTTTTTACAACTAGCGCATAGCACACTAGCGCAGCTCCACCATACTACCTGCTCGTTCTTTTTATTCGACGTTGTTCACAGACTAGTACGTATTACAATAAGAGTGCTGGATAAAAACATGAGGTACGAAAGTGGTTCAAAGATTATAGGTCATGCAGATCATGCTAGACAGCAAAGAAAATTGTGACCGAGAAAACACTAAATAAAAATACATAAAGAATGTGCATTATAAAAAAAAAAAAACTCCATTACACAGCTTTGCTTCTTTGGTTACAAAGTAGGTTGAACAATTTCACAGCTTTTTATTCCCACCCGAAAAAAAAAAAAGTCATACGAAATGTTGAAAAGCAGAGGAATCGTGGCAATTTCTCTATTAGAAAGTAGAAACAAATGAACAAAGTTTTCTTCATCAAAATAGCCCAATTATTTATTATATCACAATAACTGGTGACTACCTGTACAGTTGCACTATGTTCTTCATACTTACACTATACAAAATTTACATTCAAGCTGGGTCTTTACTACTGAAAATAAATACCAAAGGTAAATTGCCATTAGTGTTAGAAATATGCCAGGATTCTTTTGTTCAATTATTGCCTAAACGTTTTATCTATTAAATGTAATCCTGTCTTTCAATTCCTTTACTGATACTTATAATTATTCAAAAAAATCTAAAAAGTTCTGTGACATTGTTCATGTACATTATGAAAATAGCAGCCCTGTAATAAATAAAACACAAATAAATGAAAACTTATGTAGGCAAATGTTACTGATATTGAAAGAAAAGTGGCTCTTTAGATGAACTGTTATTTATAATGTGATAGGAAGGCTCAGGGTAAATCCAGGGATAATGGGAAACACGGGAGAGCCACCAAAGCTCTTCAAAGACCCCACTCATGCGCACCAGGTAAAATGCAGACTTTGCTCGCTTTAACAAACCCCATCTATTATTCTCCTTGTGTACTGATGACATAGAACTGGACATCAACAGCGCTGCATAACATCTCAAAGAGAGGAAAAGCTCTTGTAGAATGATTGTCTAATACTGAAAAGGCCAAACACACAACCAAAGCATGGCTACTTGCTTTCATATAAAGTGGAAAGAACACCAGTGGCACACAAGGATAGATTGCTTTCAGTTTTGTCTTAATGAGGCAAGAAAGCTTTATGCTGAGGAGACATTCGGCTGCTGTGGAGGTTGCGCTGGCTGTGGAGGCTGTGCTATCACTGCTTGCTGTTGAGAAGTGCTACCAGGATTGGCCTGTTGGGCTGGGAGTTGGGATAACTGATCACTGTTTGAAAGAGATTTTAACAGTGCATTTTCTCGTTCAAGTAAAGAGTTTCTTTCAACTAATTCTTTTATTTGTTCCTTTAGAACTTCCACTTCTTCTCTTACTGCATACATCAAATGGCTTTTCACCAGATCCTGTGAAAAACAAAATTAGGAACGTCAAGAAGTGTGAGAGGGAAAGGTGCTGCTCTTGGTTCTAGTCTCTATGGAGCCGTATCAACACAGCGTTTTTACCTTTGTTTTCCTGCTCCTGTTTTTCATGTTTCTACTGTATCTTGGCTGGCCCTAAAGGAGATGGGATGGAAAAAATCCAGCTCCCAACCAGGGCAGCAAGCCCACGATTTTCTTTTCAAAGTTTGGAGTGACTTCCAAAAATACTAGTTCTTTAAGTTGTCAATTATAAGCTTAGAATTCAAAAAAAGTTTAAAATCACATACTCAGATGTTAGACCAAGAAAACAAAAGATTAAACTAGTTACAGTACTGCTTTAAGAGATAAAGTGACCTGCGATTTCCAACTTTAAAACCTTAGGATTTAAAAAAAAAAATAGTTTGAGACTAATGGTCCTTATTTATAGCCTTTCTACAGTGTTAATAAACTCGAATCAAAATATTTTATATAATATGAACAGAATATCTTTAAGTGAACAAAAAAATTTGATAGTAATAGCAGAAATCAGAACCAGAATCAACAGAAACAAATCTATTTATTAAAGCTGAGTAAAACAAAACAGTGTCTGTAAATGACCAGAGGACGACAGAGGTTTCCAGCTTAAGTTTTCATTTTAATACTCTGTTGTCTCTAAGCTATTTTTGATGCTGAAATATTTTGGAGGAACATTATGCATTTTAAATATGTTTGTCCCCCAAAATGGCTCTTATTAACAGTAATGCACGAAATGTGAGATGTTCAAATGCGGGAAATATTTACTCCTTTGGTATTTCTAGACTAAAAATTCTCAATGTCTTAGCATCTTCAACTAAATCTCACTATCAAAAAATATACTTTGGTCATCTTGGTTTAAAGAAATTAGGTGTTTGTCTTTTAGAATTGATCAAAACCAAGTGCTTCATACAAACAACAGTCTATGAAAGGAGAGGACTATAAACTTTTACTTACCATTGCTTGTTCTATTTTGTTGTCAATGGCTACACCACCTCCCCCAGATGCACTGGAAAAAATGAGAATATTTCATTAAATTATTCTAAAAAATGTAACCTCCCTTACAACTCTTAAAATGAAAACATTTGTTTTACTTAACATCAAAGATAGTAATTTAAAATAGCTTATTAAGGCTATTCTCACAATTTCAGTACTCAGAGCTCTCATCTTGAAAATGAGTATCTCAGAAAACAGATGACTTTTAAAAATCCTTTGTAGTTTGAACAATTCTAATTTGCCTATGACATACACATGCTACTTTAAAAGTAACTCCCAATTCTAGTCAGGAGTTCTTAATTTAGTGAACGTAAAAAGACACATTTCAAATGAGCAGTACTCTCTCCACATCCCAAACTTCATTTACCAACTATGTATTCTAATTGCCTTTCATGTGGAAATTCTAGTGGTTACTTATTGTATTAAAATTCAGATGACTTTTCTTCTATAGATTTTATATTTTAATATCTGGCTTTTACATTTTTAGAACTGGCTTTTAAAAATGATTCAGAGGGCTTTTGGGCATACAGTACTTGCAGGGTTGGTTAGCAAGGAACTCAACATTCTGACTTACAGGCTTTGACTACAGGTTACTAGCTGGCAAAAATCACCTAATGTATGCGATAGACTCATTTTTCCTGGAAATAATTGGAAGTAGTTTAGCTGGTAAGTACATCCCAAGTTCAAATATCACCTTAGCATTTGTATGATAATGACACAGAAGGTTTAATAATTGTCTTCTTTGGCAGCTTATATTCTCCTATGTATTAAATAGTAAGATTAGAGAGGACCTATATCCTTTTCTTGGTGTTTTTGTAAATTTTGAAGAACAGTTATTAGGTTTTCTTGTAAAGACAAATCTGATACTTTAATTTACTGTATTAATTAAAAAGAGGTCTTCAAACAATTTTTATACAAAACTTTACTAAATACTCTTCATAAAGTATACCCCACCTAGGAAAATTTAGGTGTTAATATATCTGAACACTATTTTACTTTATATGATGGGGATCCTCAATGTTTTATCAGATTGGGGCTCAGAAATATCCTAATGCAGTGGCCTTTTATACTGTAATCCAAATAGATCTGGTTATAATCTTGGTTCTGCTACTCACTATCTGTGTGACCATCAGCAAATCAACTATTTAACTTCCAGGGACTTCATTTTCTTCATATGTAAAGCGAAGGGGTTGGTGTCAATGCCTCAAGCGACTTTTACACTTCTAAACCCTTAAAACTCTCAATCAATATAGGGAAAACACTAAGCTTGTTTATCTGCGCATTAAGCACATTAATTACAGCATACTGCTTCACTTTTTGCTGCTGTTATTGATAAGATGAAAAGGGGCTTCTGTATACCCAATAACTGGAAAGGATATATAGATCATCAGTAAATACTTATACGTGTTAGGCTTTAAATGCTCAGAGGGAGCTATGCAAAGCAAAGAACAGCTGTATGTAACTACAAACTACAGAACAACTATATTAAACCGTTAGGTTTCAGCATAAAGTTCAGTCCAGACACCATGTGGATATATTCATTAAATACTGGCCAAAATTTGGCAAAAAAGATTATGATAGGCATTTAGATTAGAGTTTGCCTGAGAATCCTTGATCATACTTTTTACATTTTTTATTTCTATGTCAAGGAAAAACTGAATCAGTTTTAGCCTCTTCATGACTTAAATACATTCAATTCTTTCAACACATCTGTTTTAAACAGAACACCGTAAATGCTAACTTTAACACCAGTTTTAAACATTAACAAGCAATCAAAACAAAAAACAAACCCTAAACCCTTAAAAAAGGTTATTGCTTAATTTTTTTGATAATTAGAATCAAATCAGTACATTTCTAAACCATTCCCTTAGCTAAGGAACAATAATTAGCAGCATGCTCTTTGCTATCTAATAAACTCTAGTCCTGAACTCAGACTTCTTTTACAGCGACAGAGGAGCAGGTTTGCAAAGTATAAACGGATCATTCTGAAGACACGTGTCCCTTAAAAGGTACTAATGTTTCAATTTTGTTAAGCATTGTACTTCAACATAATTAAATCGGTCACAGATACAATTACCATCACTACAGCGACCTTTGGTTATTTTGAAGGCTGTTATTCAAAAATTCTATGAACTTAGTGGTTCTCCAACTTTAGCGTGCACCAGAGTCCTCTGGAGGTCTTGTTAAAACACAGAGAGGGGGCTTCATCTCAGTTTCTGATTCAACAGGTCTGAGGTGGGGCCCAGGAATCTCCATTTCTAACAAGTTTCCAGGGGATGCTGATCCTGCCTGACAGACCATAATTTGAGAATCACTGGTTTACAGAGATGAAAGCTGTTAAGAGAAAGATTAAAAAGACCTAACTGTATTTTAAAAACTTCTTAGCTTGGTATACAAAAACCCTTCATGACCTTGACCTCTGCCTTCTATGGTCTGCTTTCCTCTCATACTCCATCAGTCCTATTGTGTTATGGTCTTACAGAACTATTGCAGTCTGTGGAACACATACATGTTCTCTCAGGTTTCCATGGCTTTGCAGAAACTCTCCCTCAGCTGGCAGTGCTCAAAGTTCCAATTCATCTGGCTGTTTTTTCACTTGTTCCTTAAGATACTCCAGTGCCATCTCTCCTGAGATTCCCTCTGATTTCCTGAGGTAGAACCAATTACGGTTCCCTCCTGTGGTCCACTAATCTTCACAAACTTTTTATAGTGCACAACCAGGAAAGGAGAAGAGCAAATTCTGGCTCCTCCGTATATTCACTGTGTGAATTCTGGGAAATTATTCAACTTTTCTAGACCTCATTTTTTCCCATCTAAAATAAGGATTATATGCCCCAATCCACAAAACTCCTATGAAGGAGGTTCCTTATCTTCTTCACCTCGGTGAGGAAGTGAACAGTGCTTGGCACACAGGAGTCCAAATGCATACTGAGAGAGTCAACATGACAGTAATTAGATTTGCAACAACTACTGGTTCATACCAGGAAGCTATTAAAAATTTGAGAACTACTAATTTATTCAAATTCAAAAAGTATGGTCCCTGGACCAGGTGCATCAGGATTACCTGGAAACTTGTTAGACATGTAAATATTTGGGTTGACTCCAGACCTACTGAATCTCTTGAAGTGGGACCAAGGAAATCTATTTTAATAAGTCCACCAGGTGATTCTGATAGAAACTAAAGTTTGACAACCACTGCTTTAAACAGCCTGATTTACAGAAAAGATATCAATATGACAGTATTAAATAAGCAAATAAGAGGGTATTCTATTTCAAGAGCCCAGAACACAGTTTAAGAATATTATTTCAATGAGGGTAATGAGTTGTTTTCTGTTGTGTTCCAAGTCAACATAGTGGTTTGGGTTTCACACTCTTTTAAAATGAGGAAGATAAATTGAAGTGGGCTTCCTTGACCTAATGTTATAGTATTATGCCTTACTCTCTTTTCCATTCTTGCATTTACCAAACTATAACTTGATAGTTAACTAGTTTCCGAGGTTCCTTAAGGGAAGACTTTGTACCTCTTCTGGTAAACTATAAGCACTATATAAAGGCAAGGGGTAATTTTTAACAAGACAGAAACTTTGTTTACTATGGGTCACTCTTTTAGAATAAAACCATACCTAATCTGATTAGCATTTACTAGATGAATTAAAAATTTTGGGTATGGAGGGAATGGACAGAAATATAGAACTGTGGAAAAAAGGCAACATGAAAGACTATATTACTTTTATATGATGAATTTTTATTTAGTGGAATTGGGGTCCCCAAAAGAACTAGGTGAGCTTGAATTTAATGTTTAAATAAAGTAAATTACAATCACATTCACAGGAAAAGTAAAACTCAAAGTATATAGCAAGACAGCTTGGCTTCCCATGCTGTTCATCTTTTAATTCACCCCGAGCGGCTCCCCACCACAGCTTTTCTTCCCAGGCATCCTTACTCCTGTCACAGCAGATCACCTGCAAACTCACTGAGAAGACAAGAGGCCACACATGAACCTCCAGCTTCACAAGTTCCCTGTATTTTCATCCTTAGTAGGCTAATCGCTTCATCCACGCTCTCGGCTCAGCAACTGTGCGCAAATCATCCCTAGTTTTCCCTCTCTAAAAATTATAATCAGTGAAGACAAAATTAGGCTAACTTGATCTCACATTAAAAAAAACTTTTGAGAAATTAATTTTTTCTTTATCTTTATTAATATCTTAAACAAGTATAGCTACTTGTTTAAAATCCAAACAGTGCAAATTTCTTCTCTGTTACATTTTGATTACCCCCTTTCTGTTCTCCCCTCAATACAAATGCTAACTAACAAAGCCACAAGGTAGAGGAAAGAGCACTCAGACGACTGCCCGCTGCGTGGCAGGCACACGTTACTTTAGTGAGTGCTCACTACAGGCCTGAGCAACATTCCCATTTCACAGCAGAGGAAAATGAGGCCAAGTAACTTGTCAAAGACAGGATGCTAGGAACAGGATTCAAACCTAGACCTAATTAATGTCAAAACACGTGCTTTTACTACCATAAAAATAAGACTGTGAAAGGAAGAAAGCAACTATCTATAATGACCTACAAGAAATAGAGTTGTGTCTATTATGAAGAGTGCTTTAACTAAGCACCAAATGCTAGTTGTGAAACCATAAGCATGGATCCAAAGGTAAAACTATGTTCATAATACGGCATTTATCTTATCTAGCACATTCCTAGAAGAGGTTCAGCTCTGAGAACAAGGGAGCTAACTTCTTAAAAAAGGCACTTGCTCAGTGATCTTCAGATAGCCAGTATAGTTTACTTATTCATTAAGAACTAACATGTTCTTTCGGTTTGTTAGAAAGCTGAAGACATCTTAAAATTATATACATCTGTATGCAAAACATTGTAAAAAAAAAAAAAATTTACCTTGTTTTACTCAAAGACCCTTCTAACTTTCTGTGTTGAGTCACAACTACAATTAAAAATCCACTACAGGAATTCCCCAAATTACAAAATCAGATCTTTTGTAATAAGAACAAA